CAGATTTCTGTTTCAAAAAATACACCCAAACTTTCCGTGAAAAATCATCAATAAAAGTAACATAGTACCTAGATCCACCCAAAGACGATGTCGTGGAAGGCCCCCATACATCAGAATGCACATAATCAAGAATCCCTTGAGTTGTGTGCTTCGCAGTCTTAAAACGGACTTTAGTCTGTTTACCAAGAACACAATACTTGCAAAATCTGAGCTTACAGCTTTTGACACCATGCAACAAGTTTCTCTTGTGTAATTCTGCCATACCACGTTCACTAAGATGAGCAAGGCGCATATGCCACAATTTTGTCGTATCATCACATGACTCAACAGAGTGAACTCCACCTGCAACGGTACTCCCTAACTATCTGTAGATATTCCCTGCAGTCATCTTGCCTTTCATCACAGTCAATACTTCTTTAACAATCCGAATGGTTTCCCTATCCTCGTCAGCCTTAGGGATAAAACCATTCTTGTGCAAAGTGCCCAAGGAAATCAAATTCTTCTTCAAGTCTGGGATATATCGAACACCACTCAACGTCCGAACGGAGCCATCGTGCATCTTAATTCTGACATCACCAATACCAACAATATTGCAACATCGATCATCACCTAAATAAACCGAACCAGAATTAACCGGCCTGTATGTCGAAAACCAATCCCTATTTGGCGTGATGTGATAAGAACATCCAGAATCAAGAATCCAAGCATCCGTCAATTGTGTCGTTGAAATAGAAAGCATATCACCCTCACTGCAATCAGAATTATCATCCTCGACCACGTTCACAGACTTGGATGAGCCATCACGCTTCTCATCAGTCTACTTTTTCAACTTCGGACAGTCTCGCTTCATATGTCCCGCCTCCTTGCACTTGTAACAGTGAATCGTCTTCTTATCCCTGGATTTGGATCTGGAATTCCGCTTCCCGGACCCTGTCTTCTCTGGCTTCTGTCCACGATCTCGATTACCCTTGACATATAAGCTATCGGCTTGAGAGCTTTCCCCTGCATTCTGCTTCCGCTAGTTGTGAGCCAACAAGGCTGCAGTAATCTCCTCAACGTTGATAGTCTCTTTCCCATATGTAAGAGTAGTCACCATGTGTTCGTAAGAGGGAGGCAACGAACACAACAGAATCATCGCTCTGTCTTCATCCTCAATTTTCACATCAAGCCGAGCCAGATCAGAAACGATTTGATTGAAGACATTCACGTGTTGCGCCAAATCGTGATCGTCCTGCATCTTTAGTCCATACAGCCGCTGCTTCAGATACAATTTTGTCGTTAAGGATTTGGACATAAACTGACTTTCCAACTTCCTCTAAATTTCGTCTGGAGACGATAGATGCATGACGTGATACATGACCTCGTCCGCCAAACATAATCGTATGGTTCCTGCCGCTCGCTGCTGCAATTCTTCCCAATCTTCCTCATCCATCGACGCCAGCTTTGAAGGTCGCAAAGCCTTCAAGATCCCTTGCTGCGCCAATAGATCCTTCACCCTCGTTTGCCATAATCCGAAGTTACCCTGACCATCGAATTTCGCGACTTCGAATTTTGCTCCTGACATCTGATACCAATTGTTGACGAAAACGGGTAAAGAAAACAAAAGAACACGAGAATTTTACGAGGTTCGGCAATGTGCTTAAGTCCTCGGTGCCTAGGCGGCGCTAGAAGTTTTATTCAATAATATTTTAGGTCTAGGTTACATCTCTATTTATAATAGAAAACCCTAGTACATAATTACAAAATCAACCCTGTACCGTATCGCGGGGGCGCAACCCCCGCACCCCCAACCCACATAATTCGTAACCCCACAACGAGACTTTCTTTGTAAGGACAGTTGATGTTCGCTTCGCTCACTCCGCTCCATCTCATGTCCTCTTTACTGGTATATTTATGAGCCATACCTAACAAGGTTGAAAAACTTAGAGGCCTCAATTGTAAAGATAGAAAAGGTAGAAAATGAGATTGAAAAAAAATTAAGGGCCACAATTATAAAGTTAAAAAAAATGAGATTAAAAAATTAAGGACCTCAATTATAAAGGTAAAAAATGATTAAGAAAATTAGATACTTCAATTATAAAGATAAAAAGTGAGATTGAATAAAATTAGGACTTCACTTATAAAGGTAAAAATAAGATTTAAAAAATTAAGAGCCTAAATATAAAGATGAAAAAAATGAGACCCTAATTACAAAGATAAAAAAATTGGAGGCCCGGGGCAATCGCTAAGGACACTCCCCTAATAATCGACTCTGACTATAATACTAGCAAATCCATTATATTTTTGGAAATTGACAATAAAATTCATGGATACACTTTCTTATTGTCATTACGTTATTAATAAAGGATGCAATAATCTCGTCAGATGCTTTACTTCCATGTCTTATTGGCATACAAGACAAGTCTTCACATAGATTTCATCATCATCATCTATGTACGATTTGTAGTAACACTCCGTAATCATTGTTTGATGGCATATACATAATACTCTAAATAATGAACGTTTCATTTATTTGAGATCGATTATTTAAATAAATTCAAAATTATATTTTAATCGACGATTAAAAATGTTACTTCCCATATTCACTAAAGTGCATGTCTTTTATTGTTTTATCAATAATTAAGAATCACATTTTTAATTATTTTCAAAATTTAAAGAAATAACATTTTGATGGAGTTATAGTTAAAAATTTATAATGACGCTTTAATCAACGGTGAAAATTGATATTTGATTCTTCTTTTTTTTTTGAATTGAAAGAAGCCTAAAACAGTAGGCTATGCACGTATACTCTCATCAGTTTGCTGCGCAACAGCAGCGTCTAAAGCTAGGAGGTTTGCTAGCTCATCCGGGGAGTCAAAGTGAACCAAGTTGTAATGTTTAAAGAAATAATATTTTAATCGAGCTACAGTTAGAAAGTCGTTGAAAGCTAATGATACAAGGGACCAATAGTTAAGACAGTACCGGTGGCATGATTTAGATAAATAATTGTTTGAAAATTATTAGGGTTCCAAACTTGGCCTGAATTCAGTTGCAAGCGTTTGTCTCTTTCCATGTATTGAAATTAAAGGGACAGATATATGTTTTTACCCTAGTAGGAGTATGCTTTAATTTAAACGGTATTATTTACCCTTCTTAGTGATAAGGATGACTGTGATGTGAGATGGAAAATGTGAAGTTCATGAGGATCAATGGCTAGCTTCTGCAAGCTACCTGAATTTACTAGACTATCCAAATTATACGATAATCTTGCACTACGTCTTGTGTGGGTAATTTTGTATTTTTGAAAAAGATTTGAGGGCGTTATTTAGCTTTAGTTCCGTTCTAAATCTGTCTACCAAATAGCAAATAACGGTAGGAGCAACAGTGCTTCGTATATGGTAATGTGCAGTGTTTTTGTGTATAAATACAAAAGCCAGGTTAGCCTCTTAATCACATTAACTCAAATCTTTACAAGGTTAGTTTAGTTGAAAGTAAATCTTTTGTGAGATTTCAATTTCTTGCTAGTAATGCTTGTTTGTTTTGCATGCTTGCAGGTTGATAGCAACAGTAGCACTTGACTTGAAAGTATGGACGGAAAGAACAAAATATTGTGCAGGAAATACCATCTGCTACCTCAACTTGGCCTGAATATCACGTTGCTGCCACCGGTGTTAGTGCCTGTCTCCATCAAATCTTCCTATATCCCCTACTTCATTTAATTACGGGGGACAGAAGTCCTATATCATGAATCAGGTGGTGCTGGTCCTATTGTTGGGGCAAGCAGCAGTGAAACTATGTCCTCTTTCTTCTCGGGGTTAGGTCATTTTCTCATGAGTGATGAAGTGACAGATCAAAATCCATTTCCTTTGCCTGCTGCGAACCTGATACTCGGCCCTTCTGTCAATATTGTGGTTGGCAATGGTGTTCAAGGCAGTGAGAGCTGTGAGAAGGAACAAATCATGGAACAAAGAAGGTTTAACCGGTAAGTTCGTTTTATCTTCTTTGCTTTAGCCTATGTATATCTTACTTTTCTTTTTTGTCTGTTCAATCCTTTACTGTTCCTTGTATGGTGTTTTGTTGTGTAGGGTCATTTCAAATCGACTCTCCGCTCAAAGATCAAGAATGAGGAAGCTTCAACATATCTATGATATGGAAAAGCAGGTGGAATCTTTACAGGTAAACATAACTTCATATTTCTCTAGATTTACTCCACATTTAATTAATTTCATATGTATGAAAATTTTCAAATAAACACAGACCCAAGTTATTGTGCTCTCGGCTCAAATTCAACAGCAAAAGGAAAAGCAATCTGGTATAATTCCGTTTTGTTTGTTTGCGTTCAACTTAATTTGACTAATTTTTAAATAATAATTCCGTTTGGAGGTATAATTATATGGTTACTTGTTTTGGATTATTGTGGGCCTTCTCTTTCATTTTAATTTTAAAACTACATTACCTCAATTCCTATCTACCTTTATTCAATTTTATTTATCTTCAACCCTTAAATTTATTGGCTTTTGTTCTGCAGTTGATGATGGAAAAGATTACATAGCGGTAGAGATGAACGAGCTTAACTTGCAGCAGGAAGATCCAGGGCATATTACGGTGGCTGGTTGGGAAGCCGGTGGAGGAGAACCTGGACCAATCTGGACCGGAACAGCTACAGATTGAAAGCTATAACTCGGACTTTGAAGAGCTTGAGGAGATCCTCAAACTCAACCCCGGCAGTGTCTTTACATATCAACTAATGCTTCATACCATTGCCCACCGGTTTTCTCTGCATTAATCTCTCATTTTTTTGTTTGCATGTATGTCTGTTTTCTTTAATAATATGAAAAACCTCATGGACTATTTATGATTATGAATAATTTTTTATAACTATATCTTCTCTATTTTTCTTTACACTTCAGGATTGTATATAATAAATGCTGATAAAGAAAATAGAGAACAAAATTGAGATAAATCATGGCCTCGAGGTAAAGGGCAGTTGAAATTTTTCATATGCAAACTCATGCATTTCAATTAGCATGGAAAATGGCAACACAACAATCTATGAAGATGATTTTTTTTCTTGTACAAGTACCAACAAGATCTGACTAGATCTTCTCTCAAGTTCATATAGTCAGATCCAGGGTTCTCACCAGTTTACGATACGTTGTAGAATCATCTTCCTTCAAGGTGCTGCTCTTTGAGACCATGTTTACATTCAAAGAATATGTTTCAGTGTTTGAAGGAGAAGATAAAGGAAGTGACAAATTGCTGTTGGCACCTTCTTCCTCATTAGAGGTATTTGATCTCCAAACTTTTTGCCTCAGCTTTGTGCTCAGTGACAGGCTTAAATCAAGGTCCTCGTCATCAACAACTATTCTTTTGGCTGTTCTAATTTGACTTTCTGCTCCTCTTCCCAGCCTTTTATTTGCAAAAGAGGGATGCATGAACATCGGCTGCAGTTCTGTTCGGGCGCTTTCACAATCACCGATGATATCATGCAACGGTAATTTATCAGCGTGAGAATCTTCCGTTCCCCTAACAGGTTGCTGATTGAAGATGGAGTTGTTGTTCATGTAGAAAACCCCATTCCTTGAACCAAGTTCTTTACACATGTCAGAACCGAGTAAAGCAGCTTCATTTATACTGTTTATGCGACCAGTAGTCGAGTAAGGCTCGGACATACGGTTTCCAGTAAATGCACTCCATGAAATATCACTATATGCACAGTAATGTTAGCCTTTAGGCTTGCAAAAGTACAAAAAAAACATTCTGTCCAAGCAAATATTACCTAATCACTCTTTGATCATGAAGCATGGACTGATACCAAAGATTTTGAGAACGGTAGTTTACGCTTCCCAAAAGATGCCTGTTGTTTACAACTGTCATGTATACATATACCATATTACCATGAAACATAATATCGTTGAGTATTAGAAATTGAAGAAATTAGCCCTAAATATAAATTTCAGGTTATAATTTATATGATCAAGGGTTTACCTTGACCCTTATCATCAAGCTTCTTGCTCCGGTACATCTATAAGCTCAATAACAAAAATTGAAATTAGAATTATTACATTTCTGTACTATCTTATTTAAAAGAATTTAATGTTTTAACGCATACCTGCAAATGACTCTTGACATGAGCAATACTAAGACCCTTGATATTCATTAGTTGCAAGACCAATTTTGGAGTTGCTCCTACACCAAGGATCATATCAAAATAACTGGATAATGGATTTCTTCATATCTTAACTAAAGGTATGAAAATCAATCCCCCAAACAAAGTAGATTAAGGAAATTTTCAATGATCTTACTCTCTTTACCACCCAGTCTGTCCACGGCTCGAACAAAGAGAAAATGAAGTTCAGGGATCCATCGCAGCCTAGGCATCCTTGATCTCACATAGGGTCGCACCCCACTTGAACTAATTTCCTTCTTTTCGTCTCCTTCAACTATGCTGTTGCTTGGGCTTGCACTGTTTCTAGTCTTATTACTTCCAACATCAGCTTCATCTTCTTCCTCCATGTTTAGTGGATTAATCTTGTGCATGTTTAGTCTTCGAAAGAGAAACACAAAGATGCAATTCAATTAGAAGTGGTCAAACAGGTTTTAGAAATCCCTCCACTTGCTTCCTCCAAAACAAAACAGTCGTTTGATAAGGAAGGTTCCATAGCGTTGAAGAGTGTAGAACTGGTTTTCCAAACTAATCCAAATAGAAAGTACAAACCCCAACACTCAGCCTTGATGGAAATGTATTTTTTTATATACATAGTGGACCCATATGTTATTCTCTGGATGATTATGACCCATGTATGAATGTAATGCACATCCATGGACGAAGTCCTGAATGGGAATACTTTAAAACCAGGCAGTGAGAGAGAAATTAATTAACCCTCTAAAACAAGAAATGTTAAGAAAGACTGTGCTGTGATTCTTGCTGTCGGTGGTCACGGATGTTTTTGTCCCTTACCAATGAACGCTCCTAATAACAACAAACTTGTGTTTTTTTATTTTCATTTTTCATTTTTGGCTTCTTCCAAGGTTCCTCAGTCTCTCATAGAAGATATTAATTAGTAGTATATGATATATGATGCTCCTCGCACTACATTGGATTCAATGCTCCTCATTCTTATCAAGTGGACATCACAGCTCCCATCATTGCGTTTCTCTGATCACGGTTTTTTTTTTATGATTTCTCTGTGATTCTTCCATAAAAAATGCTGATCTTGGAGGAGAAAAGATATTCTTCTTGTAAAGATTTCACATGGCATATTGGCCAACATGCACTGGAGAAGACAACATAACCAACTGGAAGCTGATCGTTCATATCAATAGATAAGATCAACTGAAAAGTATTACAAATTGTTTTTGATAAAAAAAAAAGAGAGGAAAAACTCTAGAAAATCTTCAAAGCGGAGAGAGGCTGTGTTTTTAGGGGTGAGGGACAAACGTGCATGTGAAGATCAAACGGGACAGGAAAAAAATCATAGTTTGCTGTGCATATCGAGTGTTGAGAGCTTGGAGGAGTGGAATTGTAGCAAGGGTCAACTCCTAGCATTATTTAAATCATATGGGGCAAGGCAGGATGTCAGCTAAACATAATATTATATGGTGCATTAGAATACGCCAACCCTTTTTATGCGGATCAAACCAATATGATGGAATGAGTATGTTTGTCTTTTCTCTACCCATCACATTCCCATGAATGTCATTATAACATCATGCCATATATGCATCCATTATGACCATGACTAATGAACAAAACATGGGTCCAACAAATTCTATATATCAACTGGCCCAAGTTTCTTGTTTTCGATAAATCCTGTCCAATGGTCACCACCCAAAATGCAATATGAGCCCATGTTTGTTTATCTCTCGGGCGTCAAAATCAGCCTAACAAGTGACCCGAGCAGAAGATAAAATAAGCGAACTGTCTTCCTTTGTTTACCCCTTTTATGGTGATTCTCGTTTTACCTTCAGCTCCACCTACTGGAACTACCTTGGGTTTCTGGTTGGATGCCGAAAAATCGTAGGAAATGATAAGAAAAGAGGAATCTTTTGACTCCAGCTAGTACCAGTAAATCTTCGTATTAGACTTGGGTTTTTGTTTAGTTTGCACGAAGTGTAGCTCGCATAGTAAATTTTTTCGCTCTCTACCCCACTGATGGTCATCTCTCGTGGGTTCACCTCGTTGACTGAATTATCTTTGCCTTTTCATTGGCACCGCTTTGTGGCACCTTAATTTTATCAAACTTTCTTTTCAAAACACAGTCTTGGAACAATTCAGACCACCGACTGCAGCCACCGATATCCAAATTTTGTTCTTAGAAGAAGACAACCAAAATTTAGTATCTTCACGTCGGTGGAATTAGACCAATATGTAACGAGAGATGATGAAGATGAAATGAGCGAATTCTTCTTCGAGGCAATTGAGGAATTTGAGAGAATGGCTAGGGAACCCTCTGATGTTCTTGAAGAAATGAATGATAAGTTGTCATCAAGAGAGTTACAGTTAGTTCTAGTTTACTTTTCTCAGGAAGGGAGAGATTATTAGTCAGGCCGGTACAATGAATTTTAATGTTCTGGACGAGATAATAATTTTATGCCCCTATACTTGTATTGTATTTTTTATTCATTCTTGTTTTTTTCGTTTTCGCACCTGATGGTTGTTTTTGAGGTAACATATTTAAAAGAAATCAATAAAATAAATATAGTAGCAAGTAAATAATAAAACAAATATATTAACAAGGAAAGATACAACCTGATCGGTAACCGAAGTTTATGTTGTTGACTTGTTCTTTCTTACAATCAATTGATATGGAAAATTAATGATGAAATCAAAATAATCAGAATGAATCACTCTAAAAAATGTCTGGAACGAAAATATTTAGCTACTGTTTTTTTTCTTCATCAAACTAAGTTTGCCACTACACAATCAAAATTCAAACAATAAAACTATAAGCACTAGATTTGTTAAACAAAGTGAACTAAACTCATAAAGCTTTGATTCGAGATGAAATGGTTGATTTACCTATATTCTGCCAGGTTGAGGGTAACTATGGGGATGTTATCAGATTGGTGATTGACCTTATAGAATTCGGTTTGTGTTGCAGAAGATGGCTATCAGATAGAGCAAAATCGTAACTGATAATTTGAGAAAATAAAAAATAGAGATAAAGATGACACAAAATTTACGTGAAAAACCCCTAAATAATATAGGGTAAAAACCACGGGCAACGGTAGAAGAAATTCACTATGAGAAAATAGGAATTACAACCTCTCTCGATCTAACAAGGAGAAAACAATGATAATTCTCTCTTGATAAAAAGGAGAAAATAACTCTCAAGAAACTCTCTAAATTCTCTCTAGTATTGGAAGAAAGCTAGAATGTTTTGGGATGGTTTTGAAGCTAAATGAGCTAGGGTATTTATAGTTGAAGTTTTAAGGACTAATTTGTAAATACCCTAAACTTTAGTGACTAAACTTTGTAATTTGCCCTTTCTCATTTTAAAAAATTACAACCCCTTTTTTGACTTACTATATTTCGGTGGATTTAATTTATTTTTTTCTCCAATTTCAACTTGCACCGAAAGGTGCATTGAATTTTCAACAATCTTCCACTTGAAGATTTGATTAGAACAATCATATCTTCATACCATTCTTTCTACCTAGTACCTTCATGTTGCTTAGGTCTCTGACAGGCCACAAGAGGATCGACACCAAGTAAATTTATCAGCGTTGATCGCCTTTGTCATGAAATCTGCTATGTTGTCTTTGGTATGGATTTTCTGCATATCTACCGTTCCTTCTTCCACCTTTTCATGAATGAAATGGTACTAAACTTGTATGTGCTTTGTCCTTGAATGAAATGCTGGATTCCTTGCTAGATGCAAGGCGCTTTGACTGTTACAAAACAGAGAGACATACTCTTGATTGTGCCCAAGCTCCTCCAACAGCATCTTCAACCAAATTGCTTCTTTACTGGCTTGTGTAGCTGCTACATATTCTGCTCTGTTGTGGATGTAGCCACAACTGACTGCAATTTTGAAACCCAGCTTACAGCTCCACCAGCAACTTTGAACACATATCCTGTAGTAGATTTGCTTTTATCCAAATCCCCTGCATAGTCAGAATCTACATACCCAATGATTAATAAGTTTGATCCTCCGTAACATAATGCAATATTTGAGGTCCCTTTGATATATCTCAGGATCCTCTTCAATATATTCCAATGCTCTTTGCCTGGATTCACCATGTACCGACTAACCACACCCACTACTTGTGCAATGTCTGGTCTTGTGCATATCATAGCGAACATTAAACTTCCCACTGCTGATGCATACGGTACTCGAGACATCTCCATCCTCTCTTCTTCACTGCTAGGACTCATACTAGAGGATAATTTGAAGTTAATAGGAAGAGGGGTAGAAATTGGCTTACGATCTTGCATGTTGAATCTTGACAAAGATCTTCTTCAAGTAATTCTTTTGTGAAAGCCAAATCTTCCTATTACTTCTGTCTCGGTGAATTTGCATCCCTAGAATCTTGTTTGTTGATCCCAAGTCCTTCATTTCAAATTCCCTAGCCAGTTGCGCCTTCAATTCTTCAATATGATCTTTGTTGGGTCCTGCAACCAATATGTCATCTACATACAATAGCAATATAACAAAATCGTTATCACCAGACCTCTTGAAATAAGCACAAGGGTCTGCGTTAAGTATGTTGTATCCAAGGCACATAATGAAAGAATAAAATCTCTTATACCAACACCTCGGCGCCTGCTTTAGACCGTACAGAGATTTGTTCAACCTGCAAACCAAGTTCATCTTTTCTTTTTCTTCAAAACCTTCAGGCTAGAGCATATAAATATATCTACTTCAAGATTTCCATGAAGAAAATCTGTTTTAACATCTAGCTGCTCTAGATGTAAGTTCAATGTAGCACACATTGCCAAAACTACTCGAACTGTTGTTAGTCGAACCACAGGAGAAAATATTTCATTGAAATCAATACCTTCTTTTTTAGCATATCTTTTGACCACCAGTCTTGCACGATACCTCTCAAATTGATCGTCACCATTTCGCTTGATTTTGAAGACACATTTGTTACCAATTGGCTTCTTTCCTTGTGGTAGTGGCACAAGGTCCCATGTATTATTTTTATGAAGGGCTTCGATTTCTTCTTGCATTGCCATCATCCACAGTGAAGCATCTGAGCTATTTATTACCTCCTGGTATATTGATGGCTCACCGTCCTCTGTTAAAAGGCAGTATGCAATATTACCTTCTATAGCATAATCCAAGTGCCAATTGGGACGTCTTCTCACAAGATCTGATTGACGAGTTCTTGGAGCTTCAGAACTCTCTGGTTCTTGTTCATCATGTGCTGGTTCTGCTTCAGAAGAATCTCCTTGTTCAAACTCCTTTTCCACATGTATCTGTGTAGTCTCTGATTTTTCAGCGCTATTATCGTATTCTTTTTCTTTGTAGTTTATCTTCTATAAAGATAACATACCTGCTGATGATCACTTTGTGGGCAGTGGGATCCCACAAGCGATACCCCTTTACTCCATCAGCATACCCCAAGAATTTGCATTTCCTGGATTTTG